TCTACCTCAGTGCCTGCTAGACTACCTGCCCCTGTGATAACCCTGGAAAAGGAGGTTGCAAAGGGATGTAGACACACCCTTTGATGCCAGGTTGATCTGTGAATCACTCTGCCAGTCTCTTACATGCCGTGTAAGATAAGAGATGATCGATGCATGGCCAGAGCAGTGAAACAGGTCACTGCTGACACCCACAAGGTCAAACACATCATGAGTGTCACTAGGGTCATCTCCAATGGTACAGAATTCTATTATTATTATTACCAATTACAAGAGAAGAAGCAAAGTCTTGCCGTTCTTAAGCTGTTTTTGCAGCTACACCTCATTTTAGTTTCCTGTTTTATAGGCCAGTGCTTCTCAAACTATCTGGGTGAAGGGCCAGTTTTATTATTATTATTCCAATCTGCTGTACGCCAATACTTTTGTAACATGCAATAAAAATTAATAGCTAGAGAAGTAAAATGCAAAACAGGCTTACAAATATAAGCACCAATTTTTATTATTAGATTCAATAGATATAAAAGTACTCCACTAAATTTCTACGAATATTTCTAAACACTCCCAACTTCTACAATTACCTTGTTGGGCGGGGGGGGCAGGGGCACTGACTGTGGACTGCCCTTTAAGCAGCAAGGTCATAGGCGAGGAAACTGGGTTCCTAGAAAAGCTAAGCCACTCCCTTGGGTCTTCTGACTCCAAAGATAACTCCATGTTATTAGGGATCTAGAAAGGTTCAAACCTTTCTGTGCAGATTTGAAAACAACAACCACCAGAGGTCTAGAGAGGGAAAGTACCATGTCGCAAATCACACAGTAACTCAGCAGCCAAGTAGAGACTGGAACCATATGCCTACACCCCTGCTATGGTTATTCCCCCACCCACAGATATCCTATCTGAATTGTCCAGGGTGCTGGATGCCCGAGGCCTGAGTCATGAAGGACTCTGGGGGAGGTATTTTTGACAGGGTGGCTGCTGGCCTCCCCCGCATCCTCGGGCAGCGAGCGCCTGGCCCTGCTGTCCTGCACCTTCCCCGCCCTCTCAGAATCCGCCGGGCTGTGCTGACTGATTCCGATTAATCAACTGGCTCTCTTGCTGTTCCAAAAATAAATATGTCAGAGAAGTGGACACCCACAGAATGAGCACTATCGTCCTCCACTCCTCATCCTCCAGTCCCTGTCTTCAACTGCACCCAGAGCCCGCGGCTCAGCCGGTAGCTTCAGCCCCTCCTCGCCACCCCCCTCCACCCCCCGCTCACCACCCTCCAATAAAAACCAATTCCCCTCCTCTTCTGGAAATGAATTAAGGAATGAAGTCACTGTGTGCTCCTGCTACACTGGCACAGCTGCCTAGGGCTGCCTGATCCGGGCCTTATAAATATCTCCCCAAACCAGCACACTGCGGCCAAAAGCTCTCTCGATGCTCAAATCTGAGCTAGGGGAACAGCTGCTCCTCCCGGCCCAGCCCTCTGGCCGCATGTTTTCTGATTCACAGAAAACAAAGCAGTTGCGCCAGGCACAGCACCCAAAGACAGCCTGGGAATAATTCAAATACCAGCACCGATGGCTTCTGCAAAAAAAGGATAATTCAAAGCCACAACGGGGAGGTCATTGGAAGTGGCATTACTACAGTAAGCAGAAAAATGAGGGAAAAGAGGACCCCATCCATCTTCTCAGCTTAGACTGAGACCCACATGCACATTGATAACTAGAGAGGCTGGAGAATGATCTGGGTATCAACAGGATTTCTCAATATACGTCTTCACAGGAACTTCAGAACAGTTGGACAGATAATTACCATTAGTGCTAAGCACTGCCCAAGAGGTGGTAAGCCTAGCACGAAGTGGGTGCTCAATGAATATCTATTTGGTGAGTGGAAGGATGGATGGATGAATGGATGGATGGGAGGGTAGATGGAGAGATTGATGGATGAATGCATGGAAGAAAAATGATCTCTATTCCTCACAACAAGGTTATAAGAAATAGGAACCCCATGTTTCAGATGAGTAAATGAAGCTCAAAGAGGTCAGCAACTGCATGGCAAGCAACCTCAGCTTTGGAACGCCAGCTTCCCGCCAAGGAAAGAACTCTGTAAAAACCACCAACAGCAGCTAGCAGTTATTAGGCAGATACTCTGTGCCAGACAGTGTTCTGAGTATTTGCATGTCTTGATGTGTTTAATCCTCCAACAACCTTGCTAGAAGATGAGGCATAGAAAAGCTAAGTAACTTGCTTGCGGTCAGACTGCAATAGGAAGCCCAGCTGGACTCAAACCCCAGCACTATGGCTGCAGAGTCAGGGTTCTCTTCCTGCCTCTGAGAGGGCAGGCACAAATAATAAGCCTGTGGGATGGCAGAATCTGCTGGGGCAAATGGACACAGCAAGCAGGGCTGCCAGGGAAATTGCTGGCTTTCAGAGCTGGCTGGGTGGCCCAGGAGAAGGAGCCCTGACCCTGCCCTGAGGCAAGTCTCTCTGACCTCTGACCGACAAGGGCCAGACCTCAAAGGAGACAGCCAAGGCACAGCCAGCATCTACCACAGGGTCTGAGCCTGGCTGGGGCAAGCAGGAAGAGAGCTGGGTCACCTGAATTCAGCCTGGGCTCTGTGAGAGCCCAGGCCAGAGCCTTCCTTCCAGAGCCTCTCATCCCTTCTCTTGGCCTGTCTGCCACCTACAAGGTGAGGAGGTGGACCTGGGTGATGTGATCTGTGAGTAGGAACCATCACAAGAAAGGCAGAAGGCCCACCAGACGCTGAGCATGAGGCAGGGAAAGACAGAGGTTGCCTGCGGACACAAAGACAGAGAAGAAAACCTCTGCCCAGAAGCTTCCTTCTACTGGCAAAGTTCCTGAGGCCACAGAGTGTCCCTATAAGCCAGGCTAGGAGGCAGCAGGTACAAGGTGGGGCATCAACCACGATGAGGTGAGCAGGCTGCAGAGGTCAGAACACCTCAGTGGACAGGATACAGGCCCGGGGTCTTGACTGAAACCTCTGTAAGCAAGGTGGGTGAACATGACTTTTTCATTTCTGCTACGAACCTCACAGTCCCCCAAATTCTCAGCCAGCCACTGCCTCTTGGAAGCCCTCCAGGAAGAAGTGACATCCTTCCTGAGAAGATAAGGCCCATATTCTTCCTCTCCTCCCATCCATGTAGCCATATAAGAGGTTAAGTCATCTCTAGCAGAGAAAGCTGAGATCATGCACAGAGGGCTCCAAGAAGCCCTGTTCACCCTCAAGTCAGCTTTTCCATATCATCTGCAGCCCAGAGTCTCACCTGGTAAAGTGTGCCCCCTGTTAATACACCACCCCGAGGGGGCCTTCACCTTGCCTGTCCCCAGCCTCAGAGTACAAGGGGTCCAGGAACCTGAAGCATGGTGCAAGAGCTCAGAATCCAAACTCGCATGAGAAAAAAAAAAGGACCCCGTGCCATTTTAGAACAGTCTCCAAAACAAGGGAGGCCCCAACATTGAGCAACATGGTTGTAGTCACTTCCTTCCCCAAAAAGCATTATGTTGGAAATTACCAAAGTGATAATATCTGTAGTATTAAAGAAATACAAATCAGAGACTCTTTTGTTTTCCTATTCTCTTCATTCTCTGTGATGCAACTATGTGTAATGAAAAGTAATGTTTTTTTTGAATCGAGGTCTCACTCTGTCTCCCAGGCTGGAGCGCAGTGGCACAATCCTGGCTTGCTGCAGCCTCAACCTCCTGCACTCAGGTGATCCTTTTCCCCTCAGCCTCTCGGTGTGTACCATCACTCCTGGCTTTTTGTTGTTGTTGTTAGAGACCATCACTCCTGGCTTTTTTTTTTTTTTTTTAGAGAGGAGGTCTTGCTATGTTGCCCAGGTTGGTTTCTAACTCCTGGGTTCAAGTAATCTTCCTGCCTCAGCTACCTGGGATTACAGGCATGAGTTACCATGCCCAGCCTCGAGAAGTAACTTTAATAATAACTGTGCACATAGAGGAAAGGATTCCCTCCCCACAGCCAAGGGGAAAAGAGCCAGAAGATTGAGGTTTGTGCTCTGGTCCCGCTGGCCCCATACAGGCCTTCCTGTTGGTCCAGTTAGTATATGCTTTCATTCAACCTCCTTTTATTTAAATGGTCCAGCAGTCCTGCTAGAAAGGAAACATATCAGAAGGATTTACAGCATCTCTGCTGACTATAGCAAATAGCTCTGCAACCCCTCACCGCCCCCCAGCCTGGCAGGCCCTGCTGGTAATGACCATGGGCAAGCATTAAGCCCCTACACTCACTCGCTGCTATCCAGCTACCCAGTGGATTTCACAGCTTTTCAGCCTCCTATCCTCACTATACCACTGGAAGATGGTCACGGCCTCAGTTTTATAGACAAGACAGCATGATCCAGTGACGCTAAGTGACATCACCTAGGAGTAGGCAGCTATGACAGGATTTAATGCATGGCAGGGACTCAGGAAAGGCTAGGCAAGGGACGTGAGGAACCTGCGCTCATTCGCCATCCTATCCACAGACACCCAATACATCTTTGCAGGCTGAATAAGACATCCAACATCCTGAGGACCATAAAACAATAGAATGTGAGAGCCAGGGCTCTAACACTGCCTCTAACTTACTTGCTGTCGGCTTTAAGTAAGTCACTCAACTTCTCAGGCCCGTTTACCCGTCCATAAAATAGGGGCTTGGACAAGTTCTTTGCTGTGCTGGTCAGCACAACCCAGGGACCAGCAGAACTGGGGAAGCTCATTAGAAATGCTGAGCCTCAGGCCCCGCCCCAGACCTACAGAGTTGGAATGGGGCTAGGGCCGTAACACGCCCTCTAGGGAGGATTCTCAAACACA